TACCAGAAAACATCATTTGTTCTACCTTCAAGATATATCCACAATTAAACATTTCTTGCCACACTTAGTGCCCAAGTCTAAGTCCCCATTATCTTTTAATGCTATCATTTCAAGAGGTTACTGAGCTTAAACTTTTTTTGTCTTGCTTTGTTTTGTTTTATTTTGACAAATTATCACTCTGTCACCCAGGCTGGAGTGCAGTGGTGCAATCATATAACTCACTGCAGCCTCGAACTCCTGGACACAAGTGATCCTTCCACATCAGCCTCATAAATAACTGGGACTACAGGCAAGCCACAATGCCCAGCTAATTTTCTTTTTTTTTTTTTTTCTTAGCGATGGGGTCTCACCCAGGCTGGTCTCAAACTCCTGGCCTCAAGTGATCCTCCTGGTTGGATCTCTTAAAGCACTGGGATTACGGGCATGAGACCCTGCTGGGCTCTAAGTTTTGATCCTTGTCTACCATCCATCTATTGTACACAATAATCAGAGTGAACCTGTTAAAAAGTTCCTGCTAATATTGAATCAATACACCCCCAGAGTCCAGAGTCCTTCAGTTCCTGTTAATATAGGATCATTACACTCCACTCTTTCTCTCCCACCAGTTACAGCTACAAACCCTACACAAAATACAAGAGGAACTAGCAGAGGTCTCTAAAAAGGGGATAAGAGTGGGTGAACTGGGTAGGAATATGAGTACTCCAAGGAAGACCGTAGCAAGTACCAGAAATGAAGCAGCTCTCCCCTTCCTCTACTACAGTCAGTGATGGCCCTGTAAAAGGTGCATTTTTGACTCTCCTGGCTCCAACCCAGATGAGAGACCAGCAGTGAAGCTACACTCACTTGGCAGCAATAGTAATGGTGGTGTTAGCGTGGAAAGCAGCGGTGGCCCCACATGTGCTCTGCCCTCACCACTTTGCCTCAGCTTAGGCCCAGCTATAGGAAGGGAGGTGACAACATGAAGGGAAAGCCTGGGCTTTCTAATAAGAGTGCCAACAAGAAAATCACCCAAACCAAAGAATGTAGACTATCACAGAGAGGAAGCTGGAGAAAGGAATCCTTTACACCATGAAGTACTTGGCGTTCTTCTGAGCTATTCGTTCATGAAACTGAACAGAATTAGCATGATCAAGACTTCAGGGATTTTAACAGGATCCAGGATGTCTCAAAATAATGTCCAGAACATAATCTTAAATTTCTAAACACACAAAACCAGGACCAGAAAAACCTGAACAACTCTCAGGAGAAAGGCAATCAACAGATGCCAACTCCAAGATGCTCCAAATGTTGAAATTATCAGAAAAAGACTTCAAGTTAGTTATTAAAACAATATTTTTAAAAAGTAAGAGTAAACACTTCAAAAAGGAATGGAAAGACATTTTCATGGAAAAAAAAAAGGCTATAAAAAAAGACTATAAAAAAAAGTAGTGACTCATACCTGTAATCCCAGGACTTTAGGAGGCTGAGGTAAGAGGATTGCTTCCCAGAAGTTCAAGACTAGCCTAGGCAACACAGTAAGACCTCATCGCTATAAAAATTAAAATTAAAATTAAAAATAACCAGATGTGGTATGCACCTGTAGTCCCAGATACTCAGGAAGCTGATGCAGAAGGATTGCCTGAAACCAGGAGTTGGAGGCTGCAGTGAGTCATTATTGTGCCAATACAATGTAGCCTGGGCAAGAGAGTCACACTCATAGACAAAAAAAGGTTCAAATGGAAATAAATTCAAAATAGATTATGAGCCAGGCCCAGTGATTCACATGTGTAACCTCAGTACTTTGGAGGCTGAGACAAAAGGACTGCCTGAGCTCAGGGGTTTGAGACCAGCCTGGGAAACTTGGCAAGACCTTGTCTCTACAATAAAAAAATTAGTTGGGCATGGTGGCATATGACTGTAGTCCCAGTGCCTAAGTTACTTGGGAGGTTGAGGTGGGAGGACAGCCTGAGCCCAGCAAGTTGAGGCTGCAGTGGCCATGAGTGTGCTACTGTACTTAAGCCTGGCCAACAGAGTGAGATTGCAACTCAAGAAAGAGAGAGACAGGCAAGAAAGACAAGAAATGAAAGGAAAGAAAGAAAAGGATGGAAGGCTGGAAGGGAGGGAGGGAGGGGAAAAGAAGACAATCAATAAAGCAATGGGTAAAAGATTTAAAGACATTTCACCAAAGATTTACAGGTGGGAAGTAAATACATGAAAAGATACTCATCATTAGTCACTACTTTAAAGAAAATTAAAACCACAATGAAATGGCCAAAATTACTATAATGGCCAAAATAAAAAATATTGACAATACCAAGTGCTGAGAAAGATATGAAGCAACTAAACTTCTCATACATTACTGGTGGGAATGTGAAAATAGTACAGAAACTCTGGGGGGGAAAAGTTTGTGAAAAATTTAAACACACACTTACAATTTGACTCAGCAATTTCATTGGTTGGTATTTATCCTAGAGAAATACAAGCTTATGTTCACACAAAAATATTCATATGACTGTATTTCACTTTGTATTATGCATTTTTATTGTGTTCATTGAGGCTTCCTTTTTTTATTGCTGAGTGGTATTCAAATCCAATCAAACTGATTTGATTGAAAGTCTATTTATTTTATCCCTTGGCTCAGATTCTAAGAATATGCATACATTAGATTTTGACATATCTGTGAAAGTCTTTAAAAGATTTACTGTGTAGATATCAAGAGGCTGAGCAAAAATGACACAGGAGATAGCTAAAGGCTAGGCAGACAGGTGGGTCCCCTGGTAACAATGTAGCGAATTCCCAGTGGGTCTCTCAGGCTCAGCATTGGCAAACAAGTTCCTTGAGCCTCTCAAGCTAGAGCTTAGGCACTCACTGCTGCATTGAAAAGCAACAAGTCAGCTCACCATTAGGCCCTTACTTCCTGCTGATTGGTCCTTAATCTGACCAATCAAAACAGCTGCAGCTCACAGCTAGTGCTAGGCAATCAGCTTGGACTTAGGGCTATATAAGCACCAAGTTTTCGGCTCCAGACTGGGCAGCCCCTTCAGGTCCCCTCCCATTGTGGAAGATTCTCTGTCCTCTCAATAAATCCATCTTTCTCACTTTCCGCTTGTCCGTGTCCCTCATTCTTCCTGGGCATAAGACAAGAACCTTGACCCTGAAGAGCTGTAACCTGAAGAGTTGTGACCTGAAGAGCTACAGAGCTGCAGAAGATCATCAGAGCGGAAGAGTCGTGCACCCCAGAGGGCTTGTCAGCGGATGGAGCCAGCTGAACCAGGAGAGCTGCTGGAAGAAGGCAAAACTCCGAAGCTGTGACACCTTGGGGGCTAGGTTTGCCAGTCCACAAAACCAGCAACATTCTCAGGGCTTGGCTTGCCAGCCCATTAGAGTCAACTACAGGGGCTAGGCTTACCAGCCCACCAAATCGCAACACTCTCAGGGCTTAGCTTGCCAGCCAGTTAGAACTAACACTTCCGAAGCTAGGCTTACCAGTCCCTTGACGACCCTCTCTAGGGCTTGGCTGGCCGACCCATTGAGCTGACACTCTCAAAGCCCAGGCTGATCTGAAAAATCCGCATCAAAAAGATGTTAAGTCTATAGACTAAAACTGACACTATGTTGTGCTTCATCCAATATGACAAAGCATATCATCATCTTGAAAAGAAAACTCTATGAAGCTTGAGATAAACTAATCAGTGTCTCCCTAATTAGTCCTGGCCCCCAAAACAATAAAGCTTTGAGCATTTTCTCAGATGGATGACTCTTCGGTAAAAAGTAAAATTATTCCTGATTTTTGCAATGGTGATGTTTGGAGATAGGTCTTAACCTTTGGAACAGTAGCATTTCTCCACAATGAAATCACGTGTTGCTTGATGATGGGATACATTAGTCGATTTCCTCACGGTGTGAGCATAACAAAGTGTATTTACACCTGGATGGTATAGCCTACTACACACCTAGGCTATGTGCTCCTGGGCTACAAACCTGTACTGCACGTTACTGCGCTGGACACTGTAGGCAACTGCAACACAATGGGATTTGTGCATCTAAACATAGAAAAAGTACAGTAAGAACAGTATTATAATCTTATGGGATCTCCAGAGTATTATCACTGACCTAAAGATCACCATGTGGCACGTGACTGTATTTGTGACCTCGGCAATTTTATGGCAGATTAACAAGTCAAGGAGCGGAATCAAGGAGTAAAATCAAGATAAGCATCGTAATACAGAGGGACCAAGAAAATGATTCACATCATTTTACAGAAAGGACCTGGAAATAAAGGCACAAAACGAACATCGTGGGGGTTCATGCCATCGTAACCCACAGGCTCTGTCGCCTAACGGGAAAAGCTAAAACCAAGGCAACAGGCACAAAACCACCCTTAAAAAACCAGAAAGCGGCGTCCCGAAACCCGACGGGTACTGGACGGAACGTCAGATCGCCCGGGCCGCTAGCCGGAGGACAAGAGAAGGAACGCACCTGCGACAGGAGCAGGAGCCAGGTTTCCGAAAGGAAAAAAGCAAGGCCTCGGAGCAGTGGAGCTTATGTAGAAACGCATGTGACGCTCACGGGAACGGGACAAGGTTGTGGCTAATGAGAGGAAGAAGCAGCTGTGCAAGAAGCAGAAAGCTCCCTCCCATCCCGTTAACCCACCAGTGACCAAGACATCAGAAGGAGCCGGGAAGAGGGCGCAGGGTTCTGTTACAGGAAAGGAGATGCCGCGGGCGAGGCGACTGGAGATCACGTGGTGGGCTGTGAAGCACTTTTAGCTTCTGGCGGAAGAAGCTAAAGGATGAGATTGAGAAGGCCGGAGAAAACCACGTCCGCGTTAAATAATCGTGTGGATGTATGTAAAATAAACTCATCGTCTCTATGTCTCTGTTTTGGCCTCTTCTTCCTTACAAGTGTCTTATTCTGACATCGCCCAAACGAAAGATGGCGGCACAGGCGCGGGGTTAGACCATGGAGTTTCGGGCCTAGAGGAGCCCGAGTGTGAGTTCCGCGGGCGGGAACCCAGCCCGGCTCCGAAAAGGAAGTTCGGGGCGGGGCCGGCGACCCAGAGGGCTTGCGTCGGCGCGAAGATGGGGGAAGAGGCAAGCGTCCGCGTGGTCCGTTGTGGCGGCAGCGAGCTGAACTTTAGGAGAGCTGTGTTCTCTGCGGATTCCAAGTAAGAGGGCGCCCGCCTTGTCCGCCGGGACATGAGCGGCGTGAGTCCCGGAAGGCGGAGGAGAGAGACCCGTCAGGCCCGTTGAGACCCGCCCGCTGGCGGATGCGGGCTCTGCGGGGCGCGCGCGTGCCTGGGGCTCGGGCCCGCGGGGTCGTGGGGCCGCGCAGCCGGGGGCTCGCCTCCAGTCCCCGGGCACTGCCTGCTGGGGATTGCGCGGCAGCCGCTAGGCGCTGGGGCGGCCGGCAAGTGGTCCAGGCAGGGATGCGCTCGCCGCTGCCCTTGCAGTACCTCGAGGGCTAGCTCTGCTCTCTCGTACGGAGTCGTGTTTTGGAGTGACTCAACCTAAACTACTCTTTCCCCACCCGCCCTCACCCACCAAAAAGGCATATTGGCAATCTTTTTTGAAGCTCTACATGAAAACTGATGTTAGACTCTGTACGAGATGCAAACCTGCTAAGACTTGGTCCTTTTCTTCCGTGGAGTGGGAAAGCAAACTACTCCCTGGGCTCCAAAGCCAGTTCTTACATTATAGGACCTTTGTAAATTGCTTAATCTCTACCTCAGTTGCCGCATCTGTAAAATGGGAATAATATTTAGTGATCCATCTGTTGGGAGGATTAAATGTCTCAATAGATAAAAAGCACATACAGTGTCTGATATTTGATGGTGCGGGGTATGTCTGCTGTCAACATTATTGCTATACTGTATTGATTGTCAGCATCATCTAGAAGTGACCCGTTGTACTAAGAAGAGGCTTTCAAATCACTTAAGGATAGAGTGACACCTGATTTTTTTAAAAAGCAGCAAAAAAGAAAAAAAAAGCCTTCCTATCATAGAAGAGTAGAGATTAGTATCTTTTGAGAGTTTGTATCCCCTTCAGTATTCTGGGTATGGCAGGTAGTTGATGAATGTATATACATGACTGAAAGAATTTTCATAAATTTCCTGAGAGGCAGAAACCAAAATTGAGCCTTTAGTCTTTACAAATAAAGGTGACTGTATTGCCATTCGTCTTGTGAATTAGAGGAAGAACCGGAAGCTTCCAGAGGTTGTCAAAGAGCTGCCACTTCAGACTCATATCCGTGTATCCAGTTTCTCCATTGTAGTGTTTCTATACCTTTTTCCTTATAATGAGATCCATTGTGTGTTTCATTTGCTAAGCCTGACAATTTATTTTAAGTATTCGTTAACTGTATATTATATATAATGAAGCCGAGATGAGAAAAACTAATTTAATTTAAATATTGGTCCTACCTTCAGGGAGTTTACAGTCCAGTGAGGAAAAGGAAATACTCAGTAACAGGTGTTTTATACTGTGGTACTGTGGTAGGGAGCTCATAGGAAGGAGAGATTCCTTCACGCTGAGAATGATGGAGAAGGTTGTTGAGAAAACGACATTTAGGCTGGACCTGGATGGGAATATTTTTTAACTGAGAGGTTTTTGATGGGGGATTGTTTTGACTGATGGATGTGAGCTAAAGGCATTCCAGGTAGAAGGCACAATGTAAGCAGGAAAGGTAGAAGCATATTTATATTGATTGAATAGTCTGGTACAGGGAGCTAGTGGGAAATGAGGTGGGAAAGAACATTTGGATTTGGTTCTTGGTTGCTCTTTGGTCCAAAGAGTTGTTTTTTCATTCTCTAAATAATGGGACAGAGGTTGTTACATGATTGTGTTTGTTTAATATTAGTCTGAATGCTATGTAAAACTTTAATAAGAGTTGGAGTGTAGGGAAATCAGAGGTGAATGGACTGGTGTACTCACAGTATAGTGATGGCCTAGAAGGGGGAGTTACATAGCCAGTTTCCTTCAGTAGTGGGTCGGAGAACACTGGCAAGAGTTTGCTGAGTCTTGGAGGAGGAAACGCCAGATAAACGGAGTTGCTTGAAATCTGGGAGCTGTGAAAATTGGGGGGATTGGGCTTTACAAAGCATACATATGGTTGCAGCATAGTGGATAGAAAATGGAGAAGAGTCTGGAAGACGAGATATCATGGGTTAGAAGACTAGTGCAGCTGTCCAAGCAAGAAATGACTTTGGCTCAAACTAAGATAATATTGAAGTTAGATAGGAAAACAGACATGCTTAAGAGTGATTTCACAATTAGTATTAATGGGGAGAAGATTAAGTTGAGTTGATTTGGGGCCCTATTGAGTTTAAAGGTAACTGTAAAACAACCTGGTGAATGTAGGTAGCAGTGGGTAGAAATTCAGAACTGACTTTGGAGAACTTGGTGAAGATTAAGAGGTGCTTTTTTGGGGTCATTCTCTATAGAGAAGCTAATAAGTAAAACCATTTCTCTAGCAAATGAATATCTATAATGAACTCATCAATAATTTAAATAGTATCTAAAAGGTACCACGGGGTTGACTGGCTATGTTTTACATAGAGAAATAAGGTAATTTTGAATTTTACCTCATGGTGCTTATCAACAAAGCTGACAATTAAATAAAACAACAGAAGTGTAGAATTTTGGCAGCCTTTTTCTGGTCAGTAGAGTCTCTTAGAACTAGAACAAAAACCCTGTTCTGCCTACTTGAGTGGGTTGTTGTGAGAGGCAGGTAGGGAGGTAGGTATGCGTTAAAATACCTGGTGTTCCCCTCTCAGATATCACTGACCCCAATCCAGTGCTGTGGCATCACATTCCCCCAGTTCAAGGTGCTGCACATTATAGCATTAGGATCACCAGGGCCTAGAAAACTCAAACAGTGAGTCACTCCTGCCTTTTGCATTACTAGATTGCACTGCTTTTACATTCTAAATTGCCAAAAAGCTTATGTCCCGGACTCAATATTTTTCCCTTGAAGATCATTCTGGATACTGCTGCTGTAATAATTTTTCCAAAGTGATACTCTTATAATGTTGACCCCTATTCCTAGTCTTGCTCAGAACCCTGTACTCAGTTTTTGTTGCCTGCCTTACCTACAGCTCTTCCATGGTTTTCAGTCCCTCCCTGATCTAGCTCTTTTCCTCTAACTCTTTCCTGATACTACCCATTGTGCACACTTTGCGTATCATGTCCAGTCCCTGTCTCTTGTACATGCCATGTTAATTAATTCCCTCATATATGCTGATGCTGCTTTTGTTTTCCTTCTCACCCCTGAAATCATACATCCTTGAGAGCTTAGTTGAAATCCTGGTTCCTGCATAAAACCATCCCTAATTTCTCCACTTTTTCCACAAAGGTGAATTGTACATAACAGGCATTGTGGTGGGTGCTTTACACGCCTTCCTGCCTGCAAGGTATAGGTATTATGAGCCTTTCCCCTGTTTATTGATGCCTAACTATAGCTGCTGATCTTGTATTTGCATGCATCATTTCACTTAAACTCTATGAGAAAATACCTGCATTTTATAGTGAACAGTGAAATTTAGAGAAGTTAAGTCAGTTCTCCAACGCCATCCAGCTAGAACACGATAAAGCTAGCATTTGAACCCATTTGTGTTTGACTTATTAAAAATTCATCATTTTCCCACCATTTCTTATTTCTGTTATTATTTCTAATTAGTAGAGGAGAGACACCATACACAAATAGTCTTAAGGCCATGTGGTGAGTGCTATGATGGAGCTGAGCCCGCTGTTGGGTAGAAGCATGTTAGGATTAGTCTAGTTTCAGCCTGAAATCTGAATTGAAGGACCCTTCCTAGAGACTGCAGGAAGCCTGAAGAGTTGTCAGGGCTGGAGATGTGAAGCCTCTGCGCTTAGGTACTCACACACGAGAATGGAGGGAGGCCCCAACCAAAAGGCAACCATGTATCCCAAATGCTTTGTTGCTTGAACTTTTTTGATCTTATTAGTCCACTTCACACAACCTTGCCTGTGGCTGACAGCACTTACAAGATTTCAATGGTTATAAGATGCTTCCTGATTTCAAAGAGGCGGACATGTGAAAAGTCAATTATCTTAGAATTAATTAAATAAAGTAGTAGTAGTTCCAGTCTGTATCAGATCTACTCTTAGTACACTGTATACAGTAGTCCTCTCTTGTCCACAGCTGATATGTTTAGTGCCTTAGCCTATACCTACTATGTGTTTTCCTATATGTGTGTACATATGATAAAGTTTAAGTTACAAATTAATCATGGTAAGAAACTAATATCAATAACTAATTAAAAAAAAATAAAACTGTATGCCAGCATCAATACTTTTGCACGTTAGGGCCATTGTTGAGTAAAATAGGGGTTACTTTAACACAAGTATTGTGATAACAGTCAATCTAGTAACATAGACAGCTTCTAAGTGACTAATGAGCAGGCGATGTCTGCAGCAGATATACTGGAAAGGGGGTGATTCACATCCCAGATAGGACAGTGAGAGACTTCATCATGGTACTCAGAATGCCATGCATTTTACAACTTATGAATTGTTTATTTCTGGAATTTCCCATTTAATATTTTCAGATCAAAGTTTACCATGGGTAACTGAAGTCAGGAAAAACAAAATCGAACATAAGAGGGACTACTGTAGATAGGATAGGCACAGAGCAAACATTTTTCATTTGTAAGCTACTAAAAAAGTTTTATTTCCAAACTTTGTTCTGTGATAATAACTGTAATGAAAATAGTCAAGCAACTACCACCCCCAACTTAACCACTTTCAGTAATTTAGTAACCTCTACATGGAAGAAATCCAAAAAGACAAAGTAAAACCAGCATTTCAGCGACAAGGGCAAAAAACTGTCATAAAATCTTTGTACTTTTCTGTGCTAGAGAGGCCAAGACCTCTCCAACTGGAGTTACTGTCCCCAGTGAATCATGGAGAATTTGGGGACATAGGAAGACACTGCTATCAGTAGAACCATTGTAGAATAATATTGATAGTAAATAGCAGAATGTCTGCATACATTTAATGAGCAGGTAATTTGGTTGAGTTGGTTCTTTTTCTGGAATGATTTCTTTGTAGCCTCTGCCCATGAACAGGCAAGAGATAAGACATTGGCCTCATTAATCTCTTGAGTTAATGAAGTGATTGGTCTTACATCTTCCCATAGACTTCAACAGCATACAGATTTGAATATGCAATTCTTACTCTATTCTGAAAGAAACGTCTATTGCATTTTGTTATTTTTATCATGGACAACAAAAGGATTTTATTATTGATAGAGTACGTGAAACTTATTTTTTTAATATTTTTTTACAGGTATATCTTTTGTGTCTCCGGAGACTTTATTAAAGTTTATAGCACAGCTACAGAAGAGTGTGTACACATACTACATGGGCACAGAAATCTGGTAACCGGAATCCAGCTCAACCCCAACAACCATCTCCAGGTGTCAAACAGTTTGTAATTGGGTATTTTAACATTGGCTTTGTTCTTGACCGAAAAATCTGAGCTGAATTTGGCTGAGAAACTTTCTAGGTTATGATCACCAAAATATTTGTTGACTTTTGGATACAGGGTATTTCCCACTTGTTTTTAGTTATTAAAATAAGACACAGCACTACCTTGCCCATAGTGTTCTCTGTGAACCATTTGTCCCACGATATGCTAATAGGTATTACTTGAGAAAGACGTGCTTGGCTGTGTGGGTTCCTGAAGTTCAGGGTTAGGCATCATGAAAGGGGTTTACAGTCTTCTGGATTCCCTTATGTCTGTTGTGAATATCCAAAAGGGGTATGTAGTATTTGGTGTTTCCCAAACTTATTTGACCTTTGAAACCTTTGGTTTCTGGAACATATTTTGGAAAATGTTGACCAAGAACAGATCTATTCCTTTAGAGGTAAGGTTTATGCAGATGTTGGCTAATCTTAAGACCAGTGTCTAGATAAGAGAAATGGCCTAGTTGGTGAATTAACCAGCTAATTTCAAAACAAATTTGGGAATTTAGTTTAGTCCACATCCCCCCACCTCCCCCACAAAGCAGCCCTTGTTTTTCAGAAGCCGAGGATAATAAAAAGGTCAAAAGGTCAATTTAATTCTTAAGTTTCAGCAGAGCTATTAAAAATTTATCTCAACAGTATTTTGTTCTTGCTCTGGTTTTTAATGAAGTTCCATTTTCCTGGATTAGTCACAACCAACTTGAAAGTTACTGATTGAGAATGGATTTGCATCGCTTTTCAATCTTATCACAAAGGAAGTGAAGCATAAAGTAACACTGATTTTTCTTTCCAAATGATCTACTCCTAAAATTAAAGTTAAGTAACTTTTCTGCAGGATTTAAGCACACGTTTTGTTCTTACTGTCTTCTGAGGGCTTGACAAAAGTATTTTGCTGTGTGTAGCGTTTGAATTTATATCTAACAGCAAAAGCATTCTTTTGCTAAAATTGAAAATTTTGACGTCTTTATTACTGAGTTTTATAGCAAAACCAAAAACTATATACACATTGCATAAAAGATGTGTTTCCAATGACTGAAAGTTAATAAAATTAGAGAAGGTCAGTTTTACTAATAGGTTTGATTGGTGGAAGAGGAGCAATTCTGGACTTAGAAACCAAAGTATTTATTAACCAGTATTTTGCCAGTGATTATATGTTTGGCTTGTTATATTTTACTCATCAATATTTATGATTCTTATATGCATTAACTGATGTGTACTTCTTACTAAGTATTACCCTTTGAGTTGGATAGGTAATATGATCTTACACCAACATTTTAAAATTTCTATTCTTTGCATCTGTGTCCTATTTGTAGAAAAACTAAGATTGCCACTTTCTTTTAAAAAACTTAAATTTCTTTATAAACATTATAAGCAAAGTATGGTCCATGGTCCACAGACTGTGAGTCTGCAGTGAGTCTATAGTGAGATGAGTACAGAGACGGAGTGTCCTGAAACTAAGAAGCGCTTTGGCATTGCCACACCATCCAAGCACATAAGAGTTTCTATTGTATTTTAATATGTTAGTCTTTGATGAATTGGAATTTTTTTTTTTTAAACCGGGCATTCTCCAATCACTAGATTTAATACTCTTGTCAGATGAAAGCAGTTTGTCTAATAAAAAGGGACTGAACTCTGGGAAAAAAAGCAAAACATTGAGTGCTTTTTATAACTCAGTACCTTACCATCTCCCTCTTCAAGATAGAAGGTTGACTTTTTTTCTCTGCTGTTTAGTTAAAATTTGGAATGGATAGATCTGCTTCCTTCAGAGGGCTGTGATAAGATTGTCTATTTTGCAGAACTAATATAAGCAAATGGCTTCACCTCTTTAAAGTTAATAGTGAAATAATGAACAGAAACTGCCTTCTGAGCAGCACTTAATTATTCATTTGCTATCTTAATGGATTTCTAATGTAGTTTTGTACTGTTTTTACCCTTTTAGCTATATTCTTGTTCCCTTGATGGCACAATTAAACTGTGGGACTACATAGATGGCATTTTGATAAAGGTATGTGAAAAGAAACAGCAATATAAATTAATGGTAGACATATTTTTTTCTTTTAAAAGACCTAATCTTTAGATAGAACTTCCTAAACAAGTTATGCAATTTACATTTTAAAACAAGGTAAATTTGATATTATAAAAATATTAAAATGTTACACTTCTAACATTAAAAGACAAGTTAAAAAAATTGGGAGAAAATATTTACAAAAGGTATTAACCTTAATATACAAAAATATTTCCAAAACTCAGTAAGGAGAAACTAATAGCCTAGTAGAAAAGATTGGCATAAAATAGCCATATATATATTCACAGAAAAAGAAATAGCAATAGCCAATAAATATGAAGTCATGCTTAGCCTTATTATTACTTAAAAAAATGTAAATTGAAATAAATGACAGCGTTTTTCCCTGTCAGTTTGGCCAGATTACAGATTGAAGCAATCTAGTGGTAGGTCAAGTGTAGAGAAACAGGCACTTTTGTACACAGTCAGAGTAAAACTGAATATAAACAAACCTTTTGCTCCAGCAGTCTCACCTCTAAAAATCTCTCATTGAAATAATGGCAGGTATATAATCCTTATAACATTGCTTATGGTGGATAAAAACTAGATTTAACCATGATGTCAGTTAGCATCATGTAACATTTACTCTATCAATGCCATGCAATCATGAAAAAGAATCAGATAGATCTGTATGTACCGCACTATAAGGCCAGGTGCTCCTCATGTGGAGAACACAGCAGTGAGCAAAACAGATAAAAGTCCCTGCCCCATGCATCTTATGTTCTACTGGAGGGAACAGACAGGAAGAAATGTGGTGCTTTTTATCTTTCAGACTTTCATAGTTGGATGTAAACTTCATGCCCTTTTTATTCTCACCCGTGCTGAGGATTCTGTCTTTGTTACAGTAAATAAGGAAGAACCAGGTATAGTATAATTAACTTGTTTTTATATGGCAGAGTGGCTCTTTGCATTTTACATTTTCTCAAAACGTAACATTTTGGTTTTCATCTGAAGGTAACAGGTTTTGGAGTGTGTCTTTTGATTAGTATCATCATTGTGTTCATTTGAGAAGGCTTTGTATTCATTCTGAATTATGTACTGAGGGAATGATTATTTTATATGGTTGTAGTTATAGCCTGCAGAGCTCAAAAAAATTAAAAATAGGTTATTGAGAATCAGTAGTGTGACTAAATTTTTATTCATTATATGTTTGCTATCTTTAGAACATCTTTCTTTGAAAACTGCCATTTTAGCAATTCCTGGAATATTGTCAGTGGTTTAGAAAATTGTCCTTCATATAGTATTTGATGCAACAGAACACTGACACAAGGGATATTTTATTATCCCAGAATTCAAGAATGCTACTGCACCCTGTGGTGTCCTCCATAAGATATAGTTGTATTCAGAATTAAAAATGTGAAGCAGCTTTAAGGCTGTTATTGGGCAGTGAGCTAGATTGGTTCGTGGTTTCTTAGCTAAGTGAACCCTTTCTACCATGTTTTTACTTGTTTTGGATTTTTTGGTCTTTTTACTGAAACTGAAAGTTATTTTATATCATAGACTTTAATTACAGTAATTTGTGAATAGTCAAAACTGTGAAAGCCAAGTCTTTTTTAGCTAATAAAAGTCATTTAGTGCCAAGTCTGTTAATAAGTAGTACTGTATCTGTCAAGAATGTGGCATTCATTACATTTAGTTTGCTTATGTGACCCCATAAGCCACCTCTAAAGGACATTCCAAAAAGTATTCTGTGGGTGCAGCACTCTTAAAAAAAAAAAAAAGGTCACCTTCCTCGATGACTGCTTCAAAGATAACACTTTTTTTGATATTTAAGTTCTGTTATGTATATAAATACGTGGATCCTTGATGTCAGTCCATATGCTTACTAAAAGTTCAGACTTCTAATCCTCCTGACTGGTAGTTGATCAGTCGGTCTAGGATGTCATCTAGGAATATGCATTTTTAATGTCTTCCCAGAAGATTCCACTCATCACTTATGTTTGGTAATGATCTCCTGTGTCCCCCCACATTTAACAAAACTTTTATCCATATGTGTAAGACTAGTGGTTCTTAACATTGGCGGTGCATAAGAATCACCCAAGAAACTTAATAAAATTCTCTTTGACGGGGCCTGATTGTTTGCTTAAAAACTTTCCCAGTTGAGTCTAATGTATAAGTCAGGGTAGAAAACTACTGATCTAAAAGACCTTGGTCACTAGCCTTTTGGAGTTAACTGTGGAAACTGCAAATAATACAGTCTAATCTGAATTCCGTTGACAATGGGATCTAGTGTTACTTGCATACAGTGGGCGCCCAGCATGTAAAAATATGGATATCTGTTGTACGAAAATGTCAGTCAGGCTTGCAAAGGTCCCCTGTGCTAACTGCCTTGCTTACTGCACTACTAACCTTTTGTACTCAAACACGGGAGTATATATGAAATATATATACACACATTTGTGTCATCTGTGTTCCACAGCCCACAAGAAGTCTCTGATAGAAAATGGAATAAATCATGTTTAAATTACTTCTCAAGTTTAAAAACAAATTAATCTGTATTAATACAGATAATACAAATATACAAATAATGATATACAAATAATGTGTGTATTATTTACACATTAGTGTTAATGGGATCATTTTGTACTATATGTCTTAGTCATTCAGCTAATTGAGCACCTACTATGTGCTAGATTCTATTTTGGTTGCACAGAACATAACAGATAAAAAGTCCCAACAGTAAACCGACTGATCAATTATATGCTATAATAAGATGAAATACGGTATTCTAGAGAAAAATAAAGCAGGGAGAGGAAATACGCAACATTGGAGGTATACATATTACATAAGTGGTCAGGGAATGAGAATAAGCTTTGCATCTCTATTGGAGAAGCTTATTCTAGAGCATTCCTGACATGTTCACATAATCACAGGGAGGCTAGCTGGAGAAGCTATTGGAAGGATTTTTGCTTTTACTCTGAATAAAAAGAACCTTCAGGAGAAATTTTTTTTAAAGGAATGTAAAGAGAAAAGCATGTTGGTATTACAGAAAGAGATATATCCTGTAAATGCTCCTGGCAAGCCCATGATGCTTCTAGGAGCTCTCTCAGATGGTATGTTGCTTTTGGCCACTCAGTTGACCAGTATTCAAATTCCACCTCCCTTTTAAAGCTTAGTACTTTGAAGCTTAGTTTAGTACTTTGAAATATAGAATGCACCAGCCAAACACAGGTTAATGTCTATTTCTATATATATGGGTCATGAGTTGCAGAATTGAACTTCCATTTAAAACTTGTATATTCAAAGGAAGAGTCTAACTTTAGAGTCTAACTTTGTTCAGGATAGCGTAGAATGATTTTCTTGGCATCAGTTGAATTCTAGAGAACTGATGATGATGCACAGTTTCATATAAATAAATGCACAGGTTCACTTTCTCTGGAGAAGCTTTATGTTAATTCAACTTCCTTTGCATAGATGTCTTTCAGCTGGTCTCAGTGAAACTGCCAAAGTCATCAAGTCAGGAAGTAGAAGCTAAGGAGCTGTCCTTTGTTTTGGATTACATAAACCAGTCCCCCAAGTGCATTGCCTTTGGAAATGAGGTAAGTTTTGTTGTGTTGGTTTTTGATTTTGTACATAAACTCTGTTTCCTATAATCTTTTCTCTGACCATTTATGTTACAGTGATTTTGCATTAGCCTGAATTACTATCTTTGTGACTATTAAGTCTGTTTCATTGCTTTAGCCTGTATTCATAGTATAGATTTTTTAGGACCATTCTTAATTTTGTATATTATATTTTATTGCCTTTGTAAACCCTCTAATTGTCCCCAAAATAGCAATAACTTCCCAAATGGAATTAGGATCAGAAGCCATTTTAATCCTTTTTTTGCCCTTAACTTCATAGTTAGTACCTACTAAATGAGTATATACTAAAATGTTCTTATAAGTAACAGCTCTTGTTGATACTATGATTTAGTTAGCCATCCCCTATTAATAATTGCTTTATTATTTTAAAATCAAAAGCCCCTGAGCATCACTGTGGCAGGAAGATTCTTTCTCCTGAAGTTTTATAGCATTATTTTGGCATTGTTCTGAAAAGTTAATTTCTCAGGTTAAACTTTTTTTAACTTTATTAATAGCAGCATTCTCTGGCATCATTAGTCATCAATTAAATACAAATGAAAACTACAGAGAGATACCACTTCATATCTAGAAGAGCTAATGTTGGCAAGATAGAGAGCAATGAAAACATAACCACAAAATGAGATGTACAGGAATGATTATTATTAATAGCACCAAAGTGTTAATAACCCAATGTTCATCAAGAGTACAAATAATTGTAATATATATTCCCTCACTGGAAGGCTGCTTGCATTAGAAAGAGACTAATAATACACCTGAGCGCATGGATGAGCCTCAGAAGGAAGATGTTGAGCCAGAGGCCAAACACAAGAGTGTACATTGTACTGTAATGATGGAAATAGAATAAGTAGTTGCTGACAGGGTTGGGGACATTGAAGAATGACTGAGGAGGAAAGAGGGAGCATTTCTGAGAGACAGAAATGTTGTAGATCTTGCTTGTGGTGGTGGTCGTATGGGTGTACACATATGTCAGACATTGCATATAAATTATTTCTTAACGGAAAAGTAAAAAATAAATCATTATACATAAATCTAGAGAATCTAGTTTTAGAATTATTTCAGACCTAAATTCATCTTTTAATTTTGTATTATTTTTAAATGTAAGATCATCCTCTCTACAGCCACAGTAGAATATATCATTTTGTGTTAACATATTCTTAATTTGCCAGACAAAGTTATTGTTACTGTTAACTTTTGTGATATTTCTCCTTAAGGAGTGTTGACTGTTTTTGTGAATGTTACCTTCTCTTTGAAATACCAGGCAGAATATGTTGCTGCAGTACGGGACTTTTACTTGTCTGTTTATTTTTTTAAAAAGAAAACAACATCAAGGTAAAAATTCTTTTTTGTTAGCTTTACTTTGTTTCCTCAAGAGTTTGTTACAATTTTATCTCGTCCTTTTACCTGTGATTCAAAGCTGTTTCTAGTTTCATGTTATAAGAGATTGTGAGACCGTGAGTTATAGAGGTATAGTTTTAAACCCTCAGTGGGTACGGTCGTGGAGGTGTGTTAGTCACAAAAACTTAGGGAGCTTTTTCCATCCAAAAGCCACTATGCCCCTAAATTCTGGTCTGCATACTTGGAGTCAAAGTTTGAAAAGACTTCACCAGGTAATCCTCATATAGTTTATGACTATAAAAATGAATCTAGGCTTTGGGATACCTGGGTTTAAATTGGTCATGCTTAGGCCTTAGGCCATTTGAACCCCAATGCACCTCAATTTAACATATTTGAAGCAGAGATAATATCTACCTAATAGAGTTGTAACAATGAATAAGATAACATTTAGAGTGACTGGTGCTAAGTACTCTTCAGGAGACCCTCTCCTCTCTTCCCTTTTATGCTGCCAAGATTACCATTTGTTTTTCTTTTAGTATAATAAGGATCCTTGGCCAGGCTCAGTGGCTCAGCCTGTAATCCCGCACTTTGGGAGGCCAAGGTGAGTGAATTGCCTGAGCCCGCGGGTTCGAGACCCGCCTGGGCATCTTGCCAAGACCTCATCTGTACAATAAATCAAAAATTAGCCGGGCGTAGATAGCGCGCACCTGTAGTTCCAGCTACTTGGAAGGCTGAGGCGGAAGGATCGCCGGAGCCCAGCGGGTCGAGGCTGCGGTGGCCAGGAGCGGCCACTGCACTCCAGTCTGGGCGACAGAGTTGAGACTTCAACTCAAAAAAAAAAAATAAGGATCCTGACTTCTTCAGAGCCTGGAGATTGACAAATACTCAACCTAAGAGTAGGAAATAGGCTAAGATATAACAAGTGATCTAGCCCTTTGGATTTGTCCCTTGAGACACATTAGCATTTCTTAGGCTTGTTTAAACCTCGTGCTAAAACTTAGGTTCAGTGAGAAATTGAACAAGCTTTGCCTAGGCCAAAAGAATCACTAAAAGGACTGTCTTTTCTTTAATTCAGTGTCAGAGGCTTCCATAGACTAATTGTTATTGTAGAATATTACTTACATGATGTTAATGTTGTATATTAATATATGTTTACAAAATGGAATGCTTGATTCTTGATCAAAATTCTCTTTTAAAAAAAAAATCCTGTACTTTTATTCATTGAATTCTGAGAGTTCTCCAGTTTGGGTCAGCAAGGCTGGATGTGCCTTTTTTGCTTAAGTGCATCACCATTATAATCATCAAGGGAACTTTTTTTTTTCCTCCTAGATTTACTTTATCATCATCAAAAAATAAGAAACATGCTAGGAACAATTTTACATGTGTAGCATGTCACCCGAAGGAAGACTGCATCGCATCTGGTCACATGGATGGCAAGATTCGCCTTTGGTCAGTAAACTCATGAAGGGCATTGTAATCATTCATACACTGGGTTCTGCAGAACAGAGTTGATTCTGGGGCTAACAAAATAACCTTCCTTTCTTTTATTCTTGTGCCCTTCGTTCCATACTTAGCATTCTAGGATTTCTAACCTTAACCATATAGGGGGAGTGAAAAATTCCTTGCTGCCTATTAATCATTTGATTGAGGAGAACTTTTTTTGTCAGCCTTTATCTAAAAAGGAAAGAGCAACAGTAGTGAATACCTAGGAGGGTATCACAGATGGCATGTTATGTGTAGACGTGACTGTTTAGAAATAGAAAATGTATGTTTGGCACATTAAGACCAATAAGCTTGCTATACAATTTATTATATTTGGCATATGTTTATATTTGTCATGTGATTATCTTCCTTATACCTTTGGTCAAATTTAAGTTTTGTTTTTCTCCAATAGGAGGAATTTTAATGATGATAAGAAATATATTTATACTTGTTTACATTGGCACCATGATATGGTTATGGATCTGGCTTTTTCAGTGACAGGTGAGTGTAGGTTTCATAATTAAAATGAACTTTCAGAGTATATGGATCAAGTGTTTTTATTCACTATATCATGTGAAAGACACCATTGCATGGGCCAAATGAGCTGCAAACACTTGCATCTTGGGCTTTGCTCAGCACAATACTGTAGATTTTAGGTTTTGATGTCCTTCACAGATCTGAAGTGTACCTTTGTGATAAAGTCTCTGTTGTTAACATAAAGGATCTATTTAAATTATATTATTACTTTTTTAAATGGTTGTCTCCATAGCTAAGTGTGTGTGGTTCATAACTGTAGCTACAATTTATCAGGTGCAAATAACTACTTAGCGCTTTACATCCATTATCTAATTTAACCCTTGACCCTACGAAATAGGTATCATTATCTCATTTTACAGAAAAAAGAAGTGAGGTTGGATATTGATAACTAACTTGCCTAACGTCACATAACTAGTAAGTGGGATTTGGACTTTGGTCTAATTTAAAAGGTCTTTTTTTTTTTTTTTTTTTTTTTGAGTTGGAGTCTCACTGTCACCCAGACTGGAGTGCAGTGGCCGCTCCCGGCCACCGCAGCCTCGACCTGCTGGGCTCCGGCGATCCTTCCGCCTCAGCCTTCCTCGTAGCTGGAACTACAGGCGCACGCTCCAAGCCCGGCTAATTTTTTGATTTATTGTAGAGATGCCCAGGCCTGCCAGGCGGGTCTCGAACCCGCGGGCTCAGGTAATCCGCTCACCTCAGCCTCCCCAAGGCGCAGGATTACAGGCTGAGCCACCGAACCCGGCTTAAGGTCTTCTTTTTAACTAATAGATTACTCCATTCAATATTCAGTATTTTAAATTAATTCAGATCTTTCTTTCATTTAAGCTGCATGAGAGTGTGGCTGTAGTGAATAAAAATACTGCCTTGTAAGGTAGTCATTACCAGAAATATGGAGAAGTACATCTTGTCTTTGGCTCTTTTAGCCTTTCACACCCATGTAGTAAACATTATGACAGTACCGTGTGACTGGTCATGTAAGAAGGTTGCTAGATGATAGAGAAGATTATGTGTCTGGAAAATGAGAAGGGGGAAAAGTGATTTTCTTTCTGTAGGTCCTCCTGTGGACTAGCAGAACAAGTTTTAGGTGGCACCATGTGCTGTGGATCCTCAGACTGTTCCTTGGGGTTAACTGTCTGAAGCCCCAGGAACTACAGCGCATCTTCAACCTACTGAAGCTTTGAGTTGGGGAACAATGACTAGAGTGTGAAGGCGGGACCCAGCCTAGCACAGCACACTTAGAGTAATACAACAAGGGGTATAGTGGTGACTCATGGTAGTTGAGACTGAGGAGCAGTGAAGAGGAATTTATCTAATCCTACAGATAAAACAGCCAGCTACTTGTTTATCTTCTCCACTCCATCCCCAGAAACAGTGGTGAGTGTTAGGAATGCATATGTACGTGTGTGTGTGTGTGTGTCTGTGTCTCCACTCCATCCCCAGAAACAGTGGTGAGTGTTAGGAATGCATATGTACGTGTGTGTGTGTGTGTGTGTGTGTGTGTGTGTGTGTGTGTGTGTGTCTGTCTGTGTGTGTCCAGGCAGTGGCTTCATTCTTTTCTGGCCTATGACCATGTCTTCTGCCCCTCTTCCTCAACTTCTTTTCTTGCTGGGGCACTTGCCCAAGTCAGGGTAAAGACCAGTGACAGTTACTGTCATTTGGACTTTTCTGTTTTGTCGCCCTTACCTGTCTTGTCCATCTTCTCTCACAGTAGTTGGCAAGGATGGCTTTCTATAGTGACCTTTCCCTTTATCCCAGGGTCATTCATGTTGGCCTTTTTCAGGTGGAGATTGAGGAAGAAGGAATATTTAGACTAGGAAGCTCTCAAAGAAAGGAAAAGGGAGAATACAAAGCACCTCTACCCTGAGCCAGGACTTTAGTATAGGAGGTAATAATGCAGGTGATCTTGCCTGTTAGAGATTGATTTCTTGATTTTATATTTCAAGTAGTGTGAATATTTGTAAATGAGAAGTAGTGGTTAAATGCAATATATAGTTGTCCATGAAATGTCAGTATAGACCCTATATAAAGATAAGCGTTAATAGAGGTATTCTCTTAGAGATCTTGTTTGTCTTGTAACTCTTAAGTTTAAGTGGCTGCTTATGATTAGTGGCTACTATATTGGACAGTGCAGCTCTACACTGATTTGAGGAGAAATTGATAATTTTATAGTATTGAGTATTTTAATCTGTGATTAAAAATATCTCTATTTTTTAGATTTAATTAATCTCCATGACTTAGAATTTTTTTTCTGTAATATATATCTTTTATTAGACTTATTCCTAGGTATTTTGTTGTCTTTCGATTCTATTCATTTTTTCATATTCTAATTGACCTGCTAGCTTTTAAAAATAAAATTGATTTTTATACATTTCTTTTATGTTTAACTGCCTAGCTAAATTCACTTATTATAAAAGTTTCTCTCTAAACTCTTGGCTGTGTCTTGATGTAGTCATGCTATCTGTGGACACTAAAGTAATTATTTCCTTCTTTTCAATCCTTAAACCTTTCTTGTTTTCACTTCAGTACATTAGAATGTTCAGTTAATGTTAAATAAAAATGGCATGGCATTCTTAATCATGGAGAAAATTTTTAATATTTTACCTTTTTGTATGATCTTTGCTATAGATTTTCTGTAAGGACTCTGGATAGAATTTAAAATGTCCTATCCCTCGGTTTTGGAGAGTTCTTATGAATAGATGTAGAATTTACCAGGGGGGGGACGTAAAAAAAATCTGGAATATATTTGTTAAAAATTGTGTGTTTATTCTTACATGTTTAAACTTCAGTCACCTTCGAAGTACTCTTCGTTCAATGCAGTACACTCATTAAGATGCCTTTTCTACTGCTCAAAAGTTTTTGAACTCGTCCATTTTGATGTCTTTTAGTGCTTCTGCCATTTTTTTGTTTCACCTCTTGCACCTCAGCAAAATGTTTTCCTTTGAGGACTTTTTCATCTGGTAAAACAGAAAAGGTCACTCAGGTTGAGATCAGGTGAATAGGGAGGGTGGGGCACAGGGATCATTGTCATTTTTGGTCAAAACTGCTGAACACTGAGCACAGCGTGGGCAGGTGTGCTCATATATCACTCATCATGAAATGAGCAGTTGTGTTGGAAAAAATCCCAAAAAAACTCACTGAAGCCAAACGCAGCCTCTCAAAACAATGCTTAGTTGGTACACTGATGCCGATGGGTTCCTAGAACACTTACCTAGAGGGAGAACCCTGCACTACAAGGGGCCCGCCCCTCAAAAGTTAATTCTGCTTTTTCCAGGGGTCTACCCCTGTATCATTTACTTTTTATGCATCTATTTAGATAATCATGATCTTTTTATTTTATTCTGTAAATGGAATTAATTACGTTAACTATTTTCTGCTGTTAAAAATCATTTCTACAAAAACCTTTGCAATGACATATTATTATTCTACTATATCATCAGACTCAGTTTGCTAATGTTTTGTTTGAGAATTTTCATTTGTCATAAATTGGTTTGTACTTTCTTTTTCGTAATGTGCTGATTTTGATATAGTATTATGATGGTCTTGTGAAACAAATTATGAAGAAGTACTTTTTTGGTTACATTTAAGAGTATAAAATTTGTTTCTTTCTTAAATGTTTGGAAAAACTTATCAGTGAAGGCATCTGGGCCTAGAAGAGGTTTGTTTGTCCAGCTGTCACTGAACAGGAAAATTTCTGAACCAGTGATCATTGGTCTTGAGAGTATATTAAAAGATGTGAAGACACTTGTTTTTGTCTTTTTAAAGAGCTTATTTCTGTAATATAGTAGGAAATATGAAAGTGTTAATTGTATTCTTTCCATTTTTCCCCAAAACACTGTCCCTGTGGCTTTGGGTGGATGCCAAGGCACCAGTTTGCTGAGTGGCGGCCGCGAGTCTGTGCTTGTGGAGTGGCGCGACGCGATGGAGAAGAACAAGGAGTTCCTCCCCCGCTTGGGGGCTACGATTGAGCACATCTCGGTCTCACCTGCAGGAGATCTGTTCTGTACTTCTCACTCTGATAATAGTACGTCTGTTTTTTATTGTGAGGAAATATAATTTGTAGGGAACAGGAAGTAAAGAGATCTAAAATGAATTCAGAGTAGTTGAGACTTTGTAAGCATTATTCTCTTCCATTTCTGCTTTCTTCACCCTTCTGTACTCCCAGGTGCTTCCAGAATCTAACATTTTCAAAATTGTTTTCTATGAAAGGGAGGGCTAAGTGTTATTTGGTTATTGATGTGCCACTTATGTTTGCAAAATGTTTTAGTGTTGGATGATGTGGGGAGGTAAAGGGAGCATTGGAAGTGGATATTGGTGCTTTCATAAGTATATTGGCATTTTCAAAGAATATTGCAGGGTTCTCTTTCAGTGTGGGAGTCCTGTGGATTCTGATAGAAATAGAGGAGTCTTGTATTTCTCAAAAACTTTGTTCATCCTATAACTACTCAGCTTAGACCAGGGCCTCTTTGTAAATCCACTCCCTTTTCCATCAAAAAGAACATAACTGAGCGATCCATGAGTGGCTGTCTTTTTTAGATATCTTTTTGCATAGATAGCATCCTAATTAACTCTTAAAATGTATGCATAGGCACAACTGATAAAAGTTAAAGACTCCAGCAGAAACTAGTCCCCACTCCCACCCCTAGTTTTTTAATTAAATCACAATATACGTTTCTGATTTTCTAGTAACACTGCAAATTAATTGAACTTACTGGGTTGTTTTGTATTCTGGCATATTTCAGAATGATACAAATCTAGGGAACTTCTTCACCTTGAAGTTCTAACTTACTTAATTAAAAAAAAAAATTTTTTTTTAACCCACAGAGATAATCGTTATTCACCGAAACCTTGAGGCATCTGCAGTAATTCAAGGCTTAGTGAAAGGTATTGAAGAACACAGTGGATTTGGAATCACATACATTCTGAGAGTGAATATTTCCCTGATTTCAACTATTGTGTGTCATTTCTTTTGCAGATAGGAGTATCTCCACAGGTTTGATGATTGATCCAAAAACTAAAGCTCTAGTTTTGAATGGAAAGCCTGGGCACCTGCAGTTTTATTCTCTCCAGAGTGATAAGCAGTTATACAATGTAAGATTTTGATCCATCAACTGGCCTTAAAACTAATGAAAATTCTTTACACTACCACCAGAGTCAAGTAATTCATTTGGTAACTTCTAAAACAAGATTCTGTGCCTGTGTTCATTGAAAATAGTATTATCTGTGGTTACTTAGTTCAGTTGTTTAGAGCATAATTCCAGTGAGACCATAGTTGCCAATTGTGTGTTAGCCGGTTGACACTCCTACACTCGCCCTCTGTCTCTGTTTTATTTTGTTTCAGAGTACACTGCTATCCCACACAACTGTTCCTTGGAGTCACAAGGATAAGGAAATGAGAATAGGTAGATTGGCAGTACAAATCTGCATCTGCTTTTTGGTGAAACAGTACCATCTTTACATATTAAAGATAAAAATTTTAGTGTAGCCGGGCTCAGTGGCTCAGCCTGTAATCCCGCACTTTGGGAGGCTGAGGTAAGCAGATTGCCTGAGCCCACGGGTTCGAGACCCACCCGGGCAACTTGGCGAGACCTCATGTCTACAATAAATCAAAAATTAGCCGGTCATGGTAGCACGTGCCTATAGTTCCAGCTACTTGGAAGGCTGAGGCGGAAGGATCGCTGAGACCCAGCAGGTCGAGGCTGTGGTGGCCGGGAGCGTGCCACTGCACTCCAGTCTGAGCAGCAGTGAGACTCCAACTCAAAAAAAAAAATTTTAGTGTAGGTTGAAGAGGAATTTTTCCTATAATCCTAATAAATGCAATGTGGATGTCCTACTTTTTCTTGTGCCTCACAGTACTTACAGATTTCTATCATAGCAATTGTAACACTCACTGTCTTTCTCTCCATGGCCCTTGAGGCCCTCAAAAAAGGAAGCTTATTGATCTTTATATGCTCACAACTAGTACAGTCAGCACCTGGAACTCGTAGGTGTTTAATGCACTTAATAGTAGACACTTTATTCACTCTCTACTGATAGGCAAGACGGTGGGATTTTAAAAAAAGAACCATAAATAGAATGCTGGCTTACAACAATGCTTATCTGTTTTCACTTCTTAAAGATTGTAGGTTTATTTCTGCTCTGCTTGTTTCTGGTGATATAAAATCTAGCCCTGAGGTTTCATGTAAAGGTATTTGTTCTTAGAAACAAGAGAAAAGCACTACTGTAACTTTTACCATATAATGGATGTTAGTAATTGCTAATATTTAAGATTGTTTTTGGGGGGGGGTTGGAGTCTCACTCTGTTGCCCAGACTGGAGTGCAGTGGCCGCTCCTGGCCACCGCAGCCTCGACCTGCTGGGCTCCAGCAATCCTTCCGCCTCAGCCTTCCAAGTAGCTGGAATTACAGGCATGCTCTACCACGTCCAGCTGATTTTTTTTATTTTATTGTAGAGATGAGATCTCGCAAAGTTGCCAAGTTGCCCGGGCGGGTCTCGAACCCGTGGGCTCAGGTAATCCACTCACCTCAGCCTCCCAAAGCATGGGATTACAGGCTGAGCCACCGAGCCCGGCTTATTTAAGGTTATTGAAGATTAGTTGCTACTATATTGTTGCTGTATAACGTGTTCCCTTTTATGGTGGTGATTTTGGTGTCCATAGTAAGTTAGTTCATTTTACCTTTATTTAAAAATCCATTCTGTAGATTCTAGAAGTTATCTGGGGTGTTCTAGAAGTCGTCTGAGATGTAGTTAATTATCATTCCTTGAATGCTTTAACATTTATGTGTTTACCTTAATAAACATTTTGAATTTTTCTTAACCCATCAGCTAGATATTATACAGCAAGAATATATAAATGATTATGGTCTGATCCAAATTGAACTAACAAAGGCTGCATTTGGCTGCTTTGGTAACTGGCTTGCAACGGTGGAACAACGGCAAGAAAAGGAAACTGAACTTGAATTGCAGATGAAACTGTGGATGTATAATAAGAAAACACAAGGGTAATACTACTTGTACAGCCACCTCTTAATTTCAGAGAATACAATATTTGACTTCCTATTTTAAGATTTCAGTCATCAGTCTTTAAGATGTCTTATTTTGATAGTTTTAGATTTAGAGATGTGGGAGAAGTGTTATTCTTCTAAAAGAAGCTTTACTTAAGCTTTCTGCTCTGAAAAAACCTTGGTGTCCTCTTAAGTGAGAATGTTGTCTTATTACATAAATGAAGGAACATGGAAAAATGGCACTCCTCGAGGACATAATACCTAATTCCAGACAAATCCAGGATTAGGATCCAAATGTTCCCTTGCTCTTCCATTAACATCATATTATATCCTTTGGAAAAGTGGGAGTGTAGCAGAGATGTAGGGGAGTGTAGCATGGGTGTTGTGATTAGACAAGGAACCCACTGGTTTTCTCATACAATGGTGTAATAACCATTTATCAAGTTTTTGCTGTGTGCCAGGAACTAGGTTTAGTGCTTTCATACCCATTGTCTTATTTATCTTTAAAAAAACACTGTAAGATAAGCCTGTTGTCCATTTTTCAGTTGAGCATACAGGCCTAGAGATTAAATGGTCCCTAGTCATTCCCGCCCCACCCCCACTCCCCAATAACCTGCTGTGGTGTTCTTTTAAGAACACAGCGGTAGCATAGCTTATCTTTCATTCACAGCACTGCCCTCGTAAGCTGGAAACAAGTTTAGAGGTAGTTTGGGTGACTGAAAATAGTAAATAATGACTGGGGCAGCTTGAATAGTTTTCTTTATGTGTTTTTTTGTAGTGAGGCTTTTTTGTGACCATTCCATTTTTTGCTTATTTTCAAAAATAGGCAGGCATCTGAGTTCTATACAGTCTTCCTGCAGAGTTTGGTGTAGTGGACTTTTTGGTGTCATTGATTAATGACCCCTATTTTTTACTTGTTTTTATCACTGAGTTGATCAGTGTACATACTGATCTCCTAAGTCACACAGGACACAGGTAATAGATTAAAACTCTGTATCCTATGACCATTAGAGCACTAAATATACATTCTAGGTGGTAATCAATCAGTTACCATTCTTTATATATGATAGTGTGTAATATTGTCCTAATGTAAGAATAAAGTCTGTGGTTTCCTTCCTACAAGGTTTGTTCTTAACACAAGGATTAACATGCCACATGAAGACCACATCACAGCTCTCTGTTTCTGTAATACAGAAAAATCTGAGCACCCCACCTTGGTTACAGCTAGTAAAGATGGTCACTTCAAAGTATGGATATTAACAGATGATTCTGATATATACAGTAAGTTATATATTATGTTCAAAGGGTGTGCAACGTTAAAAATTGATTATCTCAAGACTTATATCTGTTCAGGAAAGACATTTCTATTTTTAAAATCTGATAGGATGTTGCTTAATTTTCAGATTTAAGAGATTACATTTTGCATGCCTTTTTTCCCAAATCTATACTTTTTAAAATGGCATTCTTGATCATGTGCTGGTTATTCTCATTTTTGAGGGTACTGTAAAAAGAGCTTTTGCTCCACTAGAGGGAGGTCAAGTTCTCCAGGAAGGGGAATAAATTTCAAGTCAGTCCATTTTGTAGCAAAATTCAAGCTTAAAGAATTTATGGGGAGCACATTTGGTTTGGTTTGGTTTTTGTGTTTGTTTCTTAATCTTTACTGCTTATAATGTCCCTGTTTAGCAGTCCCCCTTTATCCGCAGGGGAGATACTCCAAGACCCCCAGTGAGTGCTTGAAACCTCGGATAGTAGCAAATCACATATCCTATGTGTTTCCTATGCATACATACTCATGATAAAGTTTAATTTATGAAGTAGTCACAGTAAGAGATAAACGACAAAGCTGGGCTCGGTGGCTCAGCCTGTAATCCCACGCCTTTGGGAGGCTGAGGTGAATGGATTGCCTGAGCCCGCGGGTTCGAGACCCACCTGGGCAGCGAGACCTCATCTCTACAATAAATAAAAAAATTGGCCGGGCGTGGTAGCGCGCACCTGTAATTCCAGCTACTCGGAAGGCTGAGGCAGAAGGATCACCGGAGCCCAGTAGGTCGAAGCTGCGGTGGCCAGGAGCGGCCACTGCACTCCAGTCTGGGCGACAGTGAGACTCCAGCTCAAAAATATATATATATATATTCTTATATTGTTACCATACTTACTGATTTTCAGACCGCAATTGACCTCCAGTAACTAATCATAGGAAAAAAAAACCCAGAAAGCAAAACTTCGGATAAGGAAGCATGACTGAAATATAGCATTTGTTTCTAAACATTATGCCTTGTATTTCCACAGAAAACGCAGTTGGCTGGACCTGTGATTTTGTTGGTAGTTATCACAAATATCAAGCAACTAACTGTTGTTTCTCCGAAGATGGCTCTTTACTAGCAGTTAGTTTTGAGGAAATTGTCACAATATGGGATTCTGAAACATGGGAACTTAAATGTACATTTTGCCATCGAGCTGGGAAAATAACGTAAGTAAATCATTTGAATGCGTAGTACTTTTCATTTATTTATTTAAACAAGTCTTCCAGCTTCAGTAATCATTTATGCTTTCTCCAAGGATAACCTGTGGGTCAGTGGGGCAAGCCACTCAGAGTATACACAAATGCATGCCAACAATTCTGAAATCAGGGTTAACATTTAATTCTTGTTCTACAGATTTTTTTTGTAATACTTTAATGGATGTGCTACATAATAATAGAAGCTATATGTAAGCCAAGTGGATCCAGACCATTCTTACTTTCTATGTAGACCCATAAAAACTGTTATGCTTATGCCTCATTGTTTCTGAGAAGGACAGGAAATAGTGACAGCAGCATCTTAGGGTGTTGCTTCAGGCACCTGGGCTCCAGGACAGAATGCAGATTGCTAATGAGATTGTTTCTAACACCCAACATGTATGATTCTGAATTTACTTTGTAAAACTTTTCTCAGAATTCAAATTGCAAGCTTTCCTCTTCTAGGTAAAGAACAGAAATTAGGGTTTTTGTTAACTGTGCATTTTGCATACGTTTTCTCTGTATGTGTTCACTGGAATGCGTACAACATACTAGAGAGTTGGTTATCAAACCTGTTTTCCTAAAGAAATAGCTAAATATGCCTTTGCTTTTCCCTTTTTTTTTTTTTTGGAATTGGAGTCTCACTCTGTCGCCCAGGCTAGAGTGCAGTGGCACGCTCACAACCATCCCAGCTTAGACCTGCTGGTCTCACGTGATCTTTCCACCTCAGCCTTCCAAGTAGCTAGAACAGGGGTGTGCTACCACGCCTGACTAGTTTTTTGATTTGTTGTAAAGATGAGGTCTCACTAAGTTACCCAGGCTATTCTTGGACCCATGGACTCAGGCAATCCTCTCACCTCGGCCTCCCAATGTTTTGGGATTACAGACTTGAGCCACCACACCTGGCCATTAAGCCTTTTCATACTCCTTAGTCCCTTTTTTCTTCAGGCTAATTAAAAAGAAAAACTTATGTGTCTGTTTAAAAATCTGCATTGCATAAAACTAATACAGTGCCTTGAAGTCTGCAGCTGTTTATAACTAAGTGTGCTAGAACTTACTGTTGCTAACTTTCTTGTGGTTTTAATCTAGGCGCCTTTGCTTTGGGAGATTGACATGTTCAAAGTATCTACTTGGTGCTACTGAAAATGGCATTCTTTGCTGTTGGAATCTGCTCAGTTGTGCATGTAAGATATTTTTTACTCTAAAGTGATCTGGCAAAGCATATAGGGAGCTGACATTAAACTTTGGCATTTTGGGAGTTAGGGATCATATCTTTAGATATGTGCACAGAGAATATATAATTTTTCACATGACCCAGTATACCACCAAAATTAGGAGTAGTAGGCCTATCATAGACATGTCTTATAAATTACTTACTTGTTGGTGAGCTGGCTTCCATCAGCCTTGCCCTTTTCCACGGTTTTCAGTGTGTACGACTTTCTGATGCTCTCCATAGTCTCTATCCTCATAACAGTTTGCAGAATGTTTCTGCTGATTCATAATGCATCTTAATCTGCTGTATCCCTAACAGCTTAAGATTCTAGTGCAGTCTACCACAGTCCTCCTAACACATGTGCACTTAGTGGCATTTATGCATTTGATGCATGTCTGGAAGGCATGGGAGTTGCTAAGTAATGAATGTGTGATAACTTTTTAAAATATTCTCTACAATGACCTTAGTTAACATTTTGCCCACATTTAGCAATAGCATAAAAGCACCAGACATACATTTCAGTGAAATAATAACCTTTTCATTGTGTGTAGAAGGAGAACTGACATTCCACTTTGTTCTTCTGCTTCCTGTCCCTCACTTTAGTTCAGCCTTCCACAGATAATTTCTGTGTGCCTCCATGTGTTTATTGGAAGCATAAAGTCCCTCTTTCTAAGAATAATAGAGAATTGATTGTCCCCAGTAAAGATTAGGGGTACATACTTTAAATAATGTTTTAAATAAATCCCTTCTTAGGAGTAAAATACTTTGTTTGTTTGTTTGTTTGCCCCAGTGGAGTGGAGTGCAAAATTAAATGTTAGAGTTATGGAACCTGATCCTAATTCAGAGAATATTGCTGCAATCTCTCAGTCTTCAGTGGGTTCAGATTGTAAGTACATGCCATATTTTGGCAGTAGAAGATCTTTTGCCTACATTTTCTTGTTAACATCTTTAAAATAATTTGAATCAAACTAGCCTTCGGATTAGATGTTTGTTTGAAGCCATTTTGCCTAGACACTACCTGCTTTCTTGCCCCAGCCCACCCCTTGTTACTGTGTCCATTCATACTTAGTTCTAGGAAAGCTCTAACACATTCTTTATTTGTCCATGGGCCAGTTCCTACTCAGGCTTCAAAACCCATTAGAGGTTTCACCTCTTCCCAACTTTCCTGAGAAGCTTTAAAGGATCACCTATGCGTTGAAGCAATTACTACAAATCTCTTTTCTAGTGCTGCAGACAAAAACACTGCTATTATATTTTGGCGTCTGTCTTCTGCGTAGACCATGACCTCTAGAGCAGGATTCTTCTTTCTCTTTTTCATCTTTTTAGCCCTCCTTTCTAACCTGTTTGGCTCATAGTAGGCATCCAGTAGATACTTGTTGAAACAAAACCTAAAACAGTCATGACCTGGGCCATCATTACTCAATGGAGTGAATCCCAGGATTAGTGTGGTCTTCCAGACGGAAGCTAGAACTAACCTTTGCTGGTACAATGTTACTATCTCTTTGTTTTGGTTTTTTGTTTTTGTTTTTTCCCCTCTAGTGTTTGTATTTAAACCTAGTGAACCAAGGCCATTGTATATTCAAAAGAATATCTCTAGAGAGGAAGTCCAGTGGGGAGTGTTTGTTCCACGAGATGTCCCTGAGTCATTCACCTCAGAAGCTTACCAGTGGCTGAACAGATCCCAGTTTTACTTCCTAACAAAATCACAGGTAACTGCCCCCTTTAAAAAAGGCCATCACGTTGTACATATGATTTTAGAGAGTAATAGCCCATGACTGTTGGTGTTTGTTTCTAGGTGAAATAGTTTCATTAAAGGATTATTTCTCAAATTGTCTAATATGCTCAATACAACTGTATTACTAGCGTATTATTTCCACTTTAGTTAACCCCACATCTTTGAGGTTACGTATTGCTTTGCATTAACTGACAGCAAAAACGCAGAAAATAACTAAGATACTTTAAATTGTATTTATTAGGATGGATTTTTTTTTAATTTTAGTGTTTGACTTGCAGTTTTTAAAAATAGTGGCTTGCATTTGAACTGTCAGTTGTATTTCATTTCTTTGCCAATTTTTAAATGTCTCTCAAAACGAATGTTATAATTCTCAGTGGTTATTAAATACATTTTAAATCCTATATTCCTTTCTGTGATCAGATATATCAAAATGAAAAAGTCACCTTCCTATTTTTTAACACCTTATTTAGATTTGCATTCTACAATTTATCTTTCGCATCATTAATTGATCTCTCTTTTCAGAGTTTATTGACATTCAGTACAAAGTCTCCAGAAGAAAAACTCACACCAACAAGCAAACAGGTATGTTTTAATCATTCATAGTGCAGGCTGCATTGCCTCCCTAAAAAGATATGCTTATCTTTTAGAATTCAGCTCTGAAAAAATATTTCACTTGGCCCTAAAATAGAATTAAAAACACTTACAAGCTGGTATACCACTTTTGAAGGTATAGTACTCTTTTAAAATTATTTTAATTTATAATATCAGTAATATACACTTATGATTTAAAGAATCAAAAGTTCTACAAGGCTCTTCAGGAACAACTCCAACACCACTGCCATAACAGTCACTCTTTCAGCTGGAGTTTTTATTTCACTCCACATCTCTAAGAAACATTTTTTATATATCTGATTCTGGATTTTTCAGATTTAAGTATCTGTTAACTCTGATATGTTGAAGCTGAATTTTAGCTCCTTTTTACACCATCACTCCCTGCATATATATAACACATACTTCATCTACTTGTCCCCCAGTTCCCCCCATGTAGATAAATCCTAAATTGGTAAGGTCAGTATTCATTTTCATAACTATGTAAACAGAATTCATAGCCAAGTATGAATTGGAGTGCTTCTTGGCTTTCTCATAGCCAGCTTAGAACTGTGCTTTCTCAGGTTGACTGAGTTGGTAACTAGCCTTCAACCTGCTTTTCAGCTCTAAGCATGTTACTATGAAGGCCTTTCCTCCAATTTCTATCATTGTGAGTTTATGCCCTTTTGGAAAGCCCTAATGCTGTCATTTTTATAGACTTTGGTGAAGAAGTGATGGCAATACAAAGATTGTTTTTCCTTTTTTTGACCTACTCTTTGTTTTCTTAGGAGTTAATGATTAACTCTCTTTTCATTTGCTTAGTTTTCTTTTTCTTTTTCTTTTTTTTTTTTTAGTTGGAGTCTCACTCTATCGCCCAGGCCAGAGTGCTATAGCACAGTCACAGCCACCACAGCCTAACCTGTTGGGCTCAGGCCATCCTTCCGTATCCTCTAATCTTAATCTTTCTGTTTTCTGGGAGATTTCCTCATCTTTGTCATCAAATCCTTTTATCCTCTTGCATGGTCTTTTTCCACCACATTTTTGTTTGTTTCAGTCTCTTTTGGTCACTATCTTTCATTTTAGAGGTTTTCATCAGTGTTTGAGTATTTTTGGCTGTTTGTTCAGTTTTGAAAGAGGGCAAAAAGGCCATTTGGAAGTTCTCTGCCTGTGTGGAGAGAACTGGCTTCTTCTACTGTCTGAGCCATTTTATAATTTATAAAATCTCCATTGTTTTTACTGTTGACCCTTGAACAGTATGGGAGTTAGGAACACTAACCTGCCAACACAGCTAGAAATCTGTGTATAAGTTTTTACTCCCCTAAAGTTTGCTATTAGCCTATTGTTGACCAGAATCCTTACCAATAACATAGTCAGTTAACATATATTTTGTATGTTACATGTATTATTTACTATATTCTTACAATAAAGCTAGAGAAAAATGTTAAGACAATAATAAGGAAGATAAAATAATATTTATTTATTAAGTGGATCATCAGAAAGGTCTTTATCCTTGTCTTCACGTTGAATAGGCTGAGAAGGAGGAGGAGAAAGAGGAGGGGTTAATGGATCTGCCATCTCAGGCCTGGCAGAGGCAGAAGACAATCCATGTCCAAGTGAATGCAAGCAGTCAAATCCTTGTTATTCAACAGCCAGCTGTATTTTAGGTTTTCTCTTAGGCTGGTCAAATTTCCCAGATAAAATTCTAAGTTCTTGCCTAAAGGATTTAGACTTTGGCTGCCAGTGTTCCTGAAAACCCCCATAAGTGAAGTACAACTGCCTTTAGCAATGAAGACACCACCACCCACCCACAGTCTGAAGACTTACATCCTCTGCTGGGGTGTAAATAGACTCAACCAGCACATCTGGGTTTATCATTCCCATTTTCACCTCCACTTAACAGAGCTACTATTATTTCCAACTCCTAAGGACTTGTGGGATCCTACAGTATGAATTGGTGTGCTTCTTGGTCACTGTCAGCTTAGAACTGTGCTTTCTCAGGTCGTCTGAGTTGGTGACTAGCCTTCAACCTGTTTTCCAGCTCTAAGCATGTTGTTAAGGCCTTTCCTCCATTTTCTATCATTGTGAGTTTATGCCCTTTGGAAAGCCCTAATGCTGTCTGTCATTTTTATAGACTTTGGTGAAGAAGTGGTGGTAAATGTATACTTTGTTCTGTCATAAGTGTCCACTGTCAGCTTTTCCCATGTAAGTGGGATGCTGGGCCTCTATTGTATTCCCTGTAAAATGAGAAAATCATACTAGGTAGATACTTTCTAAAATTCCTTTTATCGCAGACATTTTATGATTCTGTAGTACTTATTCTTGAGCCAAAAGTAGTTCCTCCTTTTTACTGAAATAATTTCCCTTTGTCTTAAATCCTTATAGCTGTTAGCAGAAGAAAGTCTTCCAACAACCCCATTTTATTTCATATTGGGAAAGCACAGGCAACAGCAGGGTGAAAAATTTAATGAGACTTCAGAGAATGAACTGGTACAGCTGCCATTAACAGAAAACATACCTGCAATTAGTGAGGTAAGTAGTTATCAAACCAAATGTAAGACAGTAAATACACTGAAAGCACCTTAAGTTGGAGTTTTTATACAATCACTCTGTAACAAATAACATTTCAGTAATCATTTGTATGCTGCACAGCTTTAATACCCAAACTAAATAACATAACCTCATGACTTGTGGTTATTTTTGTGCAAGGAGGGTGGTGGTTGCGTAAGTGTGGGAAGGTAGAGATGTGTTTTTCTTTGGTCTGGTTTTGCTGGGAGTGGAAAGCCTTTTCACATTTGATTCTTGGCATTTACAAGAAAAAGTACTTACTAAGGATGTTGAAGGCACAGACTGTGCCAGAAGATCATCTTTTTTTTTAAGTACAGCCCTGTTTTTCTCTTTTTGCTCTAGCTTCTTCACACTCCAGCCCATGTCCTGCCCTCAGCCACTTTCCTGTGCTCCATGCTCATCAACTCACTGCTGTTGTCTAAAGAGACTAAGAGGTAAAGCAGTTCTTAAAGAGGCTTAGATGCTCTGTTTTGAGAAACAGGATGTTTTGTGTTATCTTTTATTATTAGTGTTCTTCTGCTGTTTTTCTCTTTATTTCATAAGCTTTAAAATGTAATTAAAAGATAGAGGATTATTAAGTCAAATGCAATAAATTACAAATAAGTTTCAGAAAAGTGTGTGTGTGTGTGTGTGTGTGTGTGTGTGTGTGTGTGTGTGTGTGTAGGCTATAGTTTTAAATTACACTTTTACAAAGCCACCTCCTTTTTTATAATAACCCATATTTTTTAAAGTGCACTCGATAATAAGGTTTTTCATTTACCTTATTTGAGTGATTATATTTCTACATAGATGTCTTAAATTAGAAAATTATTGTTTTAGAAATATTATGGGGTATTTTTAATTGTATTCTGTTATTGTTAAAGTGCCGAAGAAATTCCTGATGATGTAGATATGGAAGAAGAAAAGGAAAGTGATGATTCAGATGAAGAAAATGATTTTACTGAAGAAGTCCAGGATACAAATAACACAGATTTGGGAGTAGACATACATCAGTTGTCAAAATCTGAAGAAAAAGAACTGAGAAAATTCCGGAAAATAGACTATAGCTGGGTAGCTGCTCTTTAGGCCTCAAAGATGGGGGAGGGTTCTTGTACTTTGGTGTTTTTTGTATGTTGATACTCAAAAAATATCTATTTTAATGTTATTTCTGTTCTTAAAATATTAAATATCGACAGACTTGAGCTCTTAAAAACTGGTAATATGAAACTATATTTGCATCATGCTTTACAGTTACTGGATCTCATTTTTTATTTTGAATCACACATCAGCCTTATAAAATAGGTATTTTCTTCACAGGTAAACCAGCAGAGCTGGGACTGAACTATATAGCATATGTCCCCTATCTGGAGTTTGAAGGTATAAAAAGTTTGGAAAATCAAAAGGCATTGTTGATGTTGTCTGACACCAAAATTCATTTGATGTGCATATGTGACCTGAACTGATGTGATGTTTTTTAGTCCTGATTCACGCCTCTTAGTATCTTTCTCTCTTTCTCTTAGAAAATTTAGATATTACTTGATTATGTGATGTTCCACTGAGGACATTATGTCATAACATAGGCTATCTAAAATCTGAAAAATTCTGAATTCAAATAATGTGACCCAAAGTCTTATTGCCAGTAAAAAAACTATCCAAGCCCTCTCTGTTTTATGTTAAAGTAATGAAATTGCTGCATCTTAGCTATGTAGCATTTAGTTTTCTAGTTCCCTGATACACTACTATAAAATGTATCATCTTAAAAAGTTAGCACAAAAGCAGTAAAGTGTACATGTCATAAGAGCACATCTCAGTGAATGCTCACAAAATTGCTGCGAACAACTTTTTAGTTTGTGCTATTGACCAGATGCTTGTTCCCCTGAAATTTATAGGTTGAAACCTAACCCCCAGTGTGGTGGTATTGGGAAGTTGGGCCTTTTGGGGAGTGATTGGGTCATGAAGGTAGAGCCCGTGTGAGTAGGATTAGTGCACTTACAAAAGAGATCCTGGAGAACTAACTCCCTTACCCCTTCTACCATACCAGGAAGACAATCATCTCCGAACCAGGAAGCAGCCCTGACCAGACATAAATCTGCCATTGCTTTTTTGTTGGACTTTCCAGCCTCTAGAACTATGAGACAAAATTTCTATTGCTTATAAACTACCCAGTCAATGATACTTTGTTGTACCCTAAACAGATTAGCATTTTTGAATCAGTGTTCAAGTAAGCTCTATACATTTTGTTAAATAACAGCTTCATTGAGATGTAACTCACAAACCATACCATTTATGCACTTTAAGTGGACAGTATACAGAATTGTGCACCATCACCACAATCAATTTTAATTTTAGAACACTTTTATCTCCCCAAAACGCCAGACATTTTTTTAAATCTCCCTCACCCCACTCTAGACAATAACTGACCTTTCCAAATCTGGTCATTTCATATAAATGGAATTGCATGATACTGTGATCTTTTGTGACTGACTTCTTTCCCTTAGCATCTGTGTTGTAACGTGTGCCAGTACTTCATTCCTTTTTGTTTCCGTTTCTCCTGGGTATACACTTAGGACTGGAATTACTGGGTCATTTGGTAACTTTATGTCTAACCTTTTGAAGAAAGACCAGACTTGTATAAATCAGCTGCAACATTGGAGGTTATTTACATGATGGTGCACAAATTGCTCCACAATCTGATATGCTAAACTTAAGTCCCTTTGCAGGGCTTGGTGGTGGTGGTTGTTTTAGATCTTAATTTTTTAGAATAATTTTCAGTCTGTAGGAAAATTGAAAAGAAGATAGAGATTTCCCATATAACCCCTCTCGCATGTGCATAGATGCCTCCATTATCAACATGCCCTACCAGAGTGTACATTTGTTACAATTGATGAAACTACATCAATACATCATAATTATCCAAAGACTATAATGTAAATTAAGGTTCACTCTGGGTGGTGTACGTTCTTTGGGTTTGGACAAACATAATGACATGTATCCATCATTTTATACAATTATATAGAGTATTCTCATTTCCCTAAACATATACAGGGTTAGTTTTTGAGATTTTCTTCTGATCCCAGGAGGATTCTGTCCTTCTTTATTCATCTCATTTATCGATCAAGGTATGAAATGGTTACATTTGATGTGTCCATGTTAGTATCTCGACCTTGCTGGGGAGTGAAACACACGTTAAACCAACCACGATGTGCTGTGCGTTTGGCACACATTGCACTTTGTCTACAGGTTCATGTGTCAGATGTTATCCCAGTTTGACAAATGAAACTAGATCCAGTGAGAGTAAGTCAACCATACTTGGATCATTGGACTATCAGAGGTGAGGCCCAGATAGAAGGAACCCTACCCACTAAATCCCAAATCCTGTGTCCTAGAATAACACATTGTCTCCTAGACACTTAAAATAGCAAGTTAGAATTACAAAGATATCGGTAATTGAGGGGAAATCATGATAAGAAACAAAATAGCCCAGATTTAGGGTTAATCCCAGCTGCAAATGAGCTAGCTAGCTCTGTGACCTGGCTAAAGTCCTTCAAGTCATCTGAGCTGAAACCCCTCATCTGTAAAACTAAGTATTCACTTCCCCTTTCCCCTAAGCAAATGGTTTTATTTGCCCAACTAGTATGATTATATTGCAAATGTAGGACAAGTGTATAAGATTTGAATATTGTTCAATTGTGGACTTCAGTATATGCAAAATTTTGATGAAAAGTCTAGGTCAACTGTTGATTACAATGAACATGCCTCTAAAGAGAAAAGTTAGGTTAATTGTGCCTTAATTAATATAGGCTCATTGTTAGTGTGCTGGAATAACATCCTTCTCTGGTTTTTTTAATCATAGACTAGCACTATAATTTCCATAGAAATTAGAGTATATATTGTGAATAATGTGTTTTAAATAATTTTATGGTGTTTGTACTATGACTAATGAAGACTTTATCAGAAATCTCTCAGGTTTAACCATCTGGTCAAAATTAACTAAATCTTATAAATGGCGCTGATTTTTTTTTTTCTGTGAAGCTGCTTTGTCTGCCTGACCTACATCCAAAAATTGTGTTTCCTCCTGTTATTTAACACTGATGAATATCATTGAAATGAAATAAAAATGGAAGCAACTGGGATTTGATAATCATACACTATGGAGTGCAGGGAATGAGTAGAATAGATTCAGAGTGCACCACTCTACCACAGATACACAATCAGTCATTATGTTGCTCAGATTGCTTTGTTTTTCAAAAAGCATAAGCAAACAGCCTCTGAGTTCCTTCATCTAAATTGCAAAATCAGACAAAATGACCCCTTTTAGCTCTGAGATTCTGTGACCACAATATTAAATTCAATGCTAGAGTAATGTAGTGTTGGTCCCTCTCCCATCCCATGTCCCAAAATACCAAGACTGGTCTTGTAAGCACTGAATTTGCGATGCATGTATATAAATATGCAGAGATATGGCACCTTAGTTTCCCATCTTCAGGCTTGACATACCTCTGGTTTAGAAACTCCTTGAGAGATCAGAGCACTTGGTTCACAAAATGAAATAATCAGACATGAAAGTGCACCAGTTCCTTCCATTGTTTTGTCAAGTTTTGATCATCCCAGTTACTCAATAGTTGCCTATTTTAACGGAAGGGTGAATATACATGCTCTGAAAACAAGCACTTTAAATGCAAATATTGACATTATACTCTAGCTTACATAGGAAAGGAACTTTAAACTCGTTTCTTTAGAAATGTCTGCATGTGTGAAATTCAAGTCCACCTACCCATCAGTGTTTGCCAGAAAGAGTACTGGTCTAAGAGTCAGAAGACCTCTAGATCCAGCTCTTCCTAAGCTTGTGCTTGTATTAAGTAATTTGAGGTCTTACTTTTTTTATCACTAAAAGTAGAGGGCGTGGTTTCACTAGGTGATCCTCTGAGCCCCTTTCTTGACTCAAATTGTGATTCTCCAAAGTGCCCAGAACTCTGTTGACCTTTTCCAAAAATATATGCCTTGCTGCTTAATTCCAGCCTCTTTTGGTTTTGGACTGAAGAGGAAACAAGCAGCTTCAAAGACTACATTTCTGAAAGAAAAAAAAAAAAAAAGATCCTGTACTCAATTTCAAGATGTCCCTGGCCCAAATCTCTAGACTTTACCCCAGCATAAGGATTAGAGTCAGAACTCCACACTGGCAACACCTTTAGGAACTTTCAGCAAACTAAAACATGGAATGAGGGAGCAGCTGTGTGACACACAAGAGGCTCTCCCGTTTGTGCAATGGAGACGACCATAGTATGAAGATAGCAGCAGACAGGATTGTGACTTGACTTACACTCAACAGTCAAGGTGAAAATGAAAGACCAAAGCTTGCCCTGGCTGCTTGCCCTGGATAATCAATTCTTTTTCCCAGGCTTCAAGTACTCCCCAAAACCACTGAAGAAATGATATATTCTGCAGGCAGTGAGGATTTTTGGAACGCCTGCCAACCATGTCTGCCTCTATTCCACTCCATCCCTCTGGTGTATCCAACCTGAATAACACTCCTCTCGTCCCCTCAATTCACAGCCTAGTCCTATTGACTATAAAGGAACGTAAAGGAAACACTGAACAAGACAAGATATACCACATATGCCCTGGTTTCTTACATAAAGGAGCAGAGAGGACTAATTGGCTATTGAAAACCAAACATGAAGGCACAGAGTGCTTGTTCCCCACCCCACCCCCTTTGACTCCTCTTCCTTTTTTTTTTTTTTTTTTTTTTTTGAGTTGGAATCTCACTCTGCCACACAGGCTGGAGCGCAGTGACCTGAGTAAATACATTCTGACTCAGCTGTCCAACCAGCTAGCTGGGGGGCAACTGCAGGTATTATACCAGAATTGATCATGGGTTTTGTTTTTAGAGCTTAGTCAAAATTCTGCCCTAGATGAGAAGTCACAGTTTAAGGATGCATATTCCGGAAATAGTTACTAGGCATACACCCATTTAGTATCTGTAAACACCAGAAATATAGAGTACTTTCACCAGTCAGATGCAGTTAAAAATAAATAAAAAGTGTGATGTAATATGATTCTCAAAGTCCACAGGAATCCTGCCTGATTGATCCTTGATCAGCTGCCAGTAGTTCAGTCGTGCAGGGGTTAAGGCATCTCCAAGACCCTTATGGTTTAACAAAACTGGATTCACTGGTTTTTAGTGTAATGAGCATATTTCAATGCATGGTAGGTAACATACTTC